AGCCTTTGTTTGTGTTTTTACACTGCGTGAAGACATGTCCTTCCTCTGTACAGTTGGAGCAGTATTTTTTTTCCAGCAGTCGGTCCTTTATGGCATGTTCTTCAAACTTGTAACACAAGAAGCATGTCAGAAGACTTATGAATTTTTCTCTCAATCTAATTCTTTGGTGTTAGTATAAATCAGGTTCTTGTATCCATTCTTTGATTGATTTTATGTCTTGGTAGTTTATTTCGCCTCAGGTTTACTGTTTTATGGGACCTTTGCTTGCTTAGCTTTCAGTGATAATAGTCAGGGCAGTCTGTGTTCCGTTACTCTCTCTGAAACCATGTTGTGGGTTTAATTTTTTCCTTTCTGTTCTCTGCTTTTTAACTCTGTTGTTGATAGCATTGTCTTGCAACACATTAAGCAGTTACTGTACATCTGTCATACACTTGTGCTAATAAAGATGTCAACGCTTACAATGACATGTACACCACCTTTCTACCCATAATGACACAGCATATTGATCAACAGTTATTTCACTTGACACATTTTGCAACTAGCAATAACAATATACTGTACTGTACACCCAAGATGCACAATGTCTTACAAAGCATTATGTTCTAGCAAAAAAATCTTGGAACATTAGTTATTTCACTTTTAACACATTATTCACCAATAATGATTATCTTATCATCTCAAATTATAACTACAATAACATCTACTTTCTTAATTATTTTACACATAACAACAAAATGATGTAACAATATACATTACGGTCGCTTTCAAACACACACAGTATTTAATATTAACACAAATCACCATTGCGCACTCTACAGTATACAGCAATCAGACAAATGCTTCAAAAGGAAGCATTCAACACAAAACAACATACCTCCCTGTACTCTACTGTACTTGTATCATCTCTTTCGTCTATTAGCTAAACTACTGTACATAAATTCATCCCATAGTGGTGGAAAAAATAGGTACTAGTGGACAAGGTGGTTAACGAACTGGTGGTCGAGGTGTTGATGTAGGAACTACTGGTGGAGGAGGAGGGATAAGAAGAGGTGTTGAAGGAGGAGGTGGTTGCGGTGTTATTCAAGGAGGACGTGGTGATATTGAACATGGTGGTAGAGGAGGAGGAGGAATAGCAAGAGGTGGTGGAAAAGGAGGATGTGTTTACAAAAGTACAGAGTGTTTGTCAGGACATGGAGTGAGCCTTGCCAATTCATGAGTACAAAAGAGTTTATATAAATCTCATAAATTTTACAATAACATGTTCAACACTTCATCACAACAAACTGTCATCAACACTATCACAACATACTGTCATCAACACTATCACAACATACTGTCATCAACACTATCACAACATATTGTCATCAATTCTATCACAACATGTGGTAATCTTCAACATATTTGCTGTAATCAAGTACGACAGTATCTTGTGATAAAGTCTTCAACAAGTTATCAATACTCACAATCACATGTACAACTTATCCTTTGCACCCACCATTTGACATTGCTTGTCTTTCATATTTCACTTGCATACATCAAACATCTTGGAGACACCAACAAACGTACTGTACAGATATAACCCAACAAACACAATGTCTTACAAAGGAGATTCAATACACCAATGTACTGAACACTGCACAATAAATCCCCTCAATACATAATGCTATTTGACAACTCATCACCATCTTATATTCTCAATGTCTTTCCAAATATAATCGATAAAAACATCTTACCGTCTTACATTACCAGATGCCAACAAAATAGATAACTTATGTTGACCTTACTATCACTTTAAAACTCCTAAGAACAAATTAGGGTATAAAATTATGTATATATAAGACACACATTCTCTTACAATTGACAGCATGCACCAAATTACATAATAAATTTTAGTGTGCAGTATATAGTATATAAACTACCAAATACATCATGGTGCAAATTACATCAACTCTATGGATAAACTCAACACAAAACATCCTGAGATACTTATATTATCCAACGCAGGTTTCTTTTCAGATAAGCTAAAATATTGTACATCAATTAAGCACAGAGTGGAATATGTGGGCTAAGTGGAGGTGGAGTGGGTGGGGTAAGTGGAGTAGGTGGAGGGAGAGTAGGTGGTGGAGGAGGAGAAGGAGGTTATGGTGTTGAAGGAAGTGGTGGTGGCATTGTGTTTCAGCACTTGGGGTCATACTGTAGATTTAGTTCACATTTCATACAAAGATACTACGTTACATGCTGGTTAATGATCTGGGTTCAGTTTAAATATTCGAGTAGCATTTCTAGATAAAGTGGTTTTGATGGCAATAGTACCTCGAATACTCCTGACGTATGGCTTAATCTTACGCAGGAAGTGACGGTTACGAATCATGATTCTTCCTGATCCGTGCAGCTTAATGCGATATTGGTCATAATGCATTACCTCAAACACTGTGCCGGTTCTGTCCTATCTGTTTGGTCAGTTTCCTTTCTGATTCTGTATCTGCACATCATTCCCAACTTACAGTCCTGCCAAAGTTTTCGGATGTTTCTCTACGGACTTTACGTGGCTTTTTTGAAGAGCCGATTCTCTCTCCGTGGCTGTTGTTTGCCACTGTTGTCGAGGGACGAGCTTGTCACGGGTTATAGGAATGAAGTCTGAAGATCTTAATTGGTTTTCCCAAAATAATCTGCCCTGGATAACCTCGAGATAAGACGGGGTTAGATTCCTAATAAACCCATCGCTAGGTGAATTACCGTAGATGGGAAGCATTTTAATATGGGGTTCAATGGGATATTTTCCCAGCCAGTCCCCAAACAATTCCTACAATACTACTATCGGTATGAAAAAATGAAACAGCACTCACCACATCCTGAAGAATAAGTCTGTTAATCATCACATGTCCCCTTCGAGGCTAAGGGGACTCTTGTAGGTGAAGTGGAGACATCACTCTGACTCCCACACAGCCTCTTGGGAGTCTCATGCTGTTTAACAATGTCAAGCTTCACCTCAGAGACATGGTTGTCTTGGATGCCTTGGCCTTCCCAGATATTTTCAAAGTTACACTGCTCACTTCACAGTCACAAAAACAAAACAAAATCAGAGTGAATGGTGGTAACAAAAACAGTGATAGCAACCGAAACTGTCACATTTTCAAAACAACAGAGTCGATGCACCTTACAGTTAAATATCACTTCACAGTCACCGTAACACAGTTCACTCTAATTGTTAGTGCTGTCCTCTCACTATATAAGAAAAGAAAAAACACCGATGATAAATAAATGTACAATGCTGGCCAATAATTGTGGAGCCATGCGATAGCCTGTTTATAATCAACAAAGAACCAGACAGAGGAGAGTGTTTGTGCACTTTTCTTTACAAGTTTCATATTTGGCACACACATACATATTGACAGTACAAGTACTTTGATGGGTGCAAGCACTCTGCTACTGCCCCCTGGTGGTGCCACCTACAGGTACGCTGCCATGACGACACAAGGTTTTACTAAATCAGCCATATTTCAGCTTCTACTTAATATTTTTTTCACTCTGTTTTCAGATAGACTCCTAAGAAGATGTCTAAAATAATTTCAATAATCACGAAGTGACTTGACCATAAATTTTTGTCGATATTTATAAAAAATCATAAATGCTTAAAAGTGGTATGAAAATGTGTGCACACAATATTTATTCTCTGTGACAGTAACAAATTTACATTGAAAGATGTTTTCTGTCTTAACATAAATTACGGGTTATGCTCCCAGTGGCAGAATATTGTTACTAATAGTATTCAATTGTCAGTATAAAATAGCTTGATTATTTACTTTGATTATTACTCTACATCATAACAATCATCAATAGTAACACCCCCCCCATGAAGGTACATGAAGACCATACTATTTAGATACATTTCTCCATATTTACAGGTACAGTTGGGGAATAATACACCACCTCACATTGCCGTGATCAGTGGAGACTTCTGGCATCTCTCGTGCAAGTAAACAGGGCACGTACAATAAGTTCTCGTTTAACGTTGCCCCCGACAACGTTGTTTTGTTGAAACGTCGCTACTCTTTAGACACCCATGATTCCGACAACGTCCCGACCGATTCGTTGTAACAGACTACTTTGTATGGCGGATCACCCTCTCTCATCTTGGCTCGCTATGGTCTCTGCGGAGCGTCCTCAAGCGTTCCCAGTCTTTGTTAGGCTTCCACAGCGTATTGGCGTGATTAAGTGTTTTTGCTCTAAATACTGTACTGTAACCATTCAAAATGGCTTCCAAGCACCCATCAAGTGTTAGTAATGCTAGTGTTGTGAAGAAGCAACGCAAGACCATTAGCCTTGCTACGAAAATGGAGGTTTTAAACCGTTTTGAGAATGGTGAACGTGCTGTGGACATTGGTGTTGCGCTAGGTCTAACCCCCACAACAGTGCGTACTATCCGGACCAACACAGACAAGATTAAGGCTAGTGCTGGAAGTGGTTCTTTTATGAGTGCAACAAAGACAAGTCGTGCTCGAAGTTCTGTGATTGAGAAGATGGAGAAGATGCTGGCTATGTGGATAGAGGACCAAAATCAACGCAATACCCCTGTGAGCCTTATGGTTATCCAGCATAAAGCAAAATCCTTGTTTGTTGACTTGAAGGCAGCAGAGGGTGAAGGATCGAAGAATGAAACCTTTACGGCCAGCCGAGGATGGTTTCAACGTTTTAAGCAACGTTATAACTTCCATAATACTAAGACGGCTGGTGAAGTTGCCAGTTCAGATACGGTTGCTGCCGAGATATTCCCGTCTGAGTTCAGGAACATTATCGAGGAAGGAAGCTACTCAGCGAAGCAAGTCTTCAATGTGGATGAGACCGGTCTCTCTTGGAAGAGGATGCCCAAAAGAACCTATATCTCCAAGGAAGAAAAAGGAGCTCCGGGATTTAAAGCAGCAAAAGACCGCTCGACGCTGCTACTTGGCTCAAACGGTGCTGGCGACTTCAAGCTTAAGCCCATGTTAATTGCTTGTGCTGCCAACCCACGTGCCCTGAAAGGTTACTCTAAAGATCACCTTTCAGTCATCTCCAAGGCATCCCATACAGTAGAGGTAACTAATAAAGATCTTCAACTGCTAACAGAACAAAGTGCTGCTGAAGATGCCGGCGACGAAGAAGAACCACAACGAACGCTAACTACCAAGAGGATGGCAGAAGCGTTCAGGAAGATCCAGCAAGGTATGCAAATCTTCTCTGATGACGACCCAAACAGAGAACGTAGCTCAAAGATTGTACGCAACATGGAGGAAACTCTTCGTTGTTACAATGAGATCTACAAGGAAAAAAAGAAGAGGAGCACTAAGCAGTCAACGCTGGATTCTTTTTTATGTCGCTGTGAGGCAGAAGCAGCATCTTCACAACAGCCTGCAAGTGAGGAGGAGCGAACAGTAGCCGAGGAGGAACCCCAGTCATAGCGGGAGGAGGAGCCCCCCTCCGGGTCTCAGTGACTCGCCACCTTCCTCCTCTCCACTACCCACCACACACTCGCGCCACCTCCGCCCATCAGTGAGTAGTGAGTACAATACAAAATGATTTAGTTCATTTATCTTTAGGGTGTATAATATATACTATTTTCTATAAAAATTCCATTGAATTTATGTATATGTAATGTATTATATGGGGCAAAGGGAGGCTGGGGAACGTACCTAGCGTATTTTATCTATTTCTTATGGGGAAAATTGATTCCGTTAATGTTGTGTTTTTCAAGAATGTAACCACGACGTTAAGTGAGGACTTACTGTAGTTAATTATAATAAAGGAACAGGTCTTGGATTGTAGCAAATTTTCATTCAAATAGCATCCTCACTACAATCCAAGAAAGGTTCATTCATGCCCTGTTTAACTATTAGGAGAGTTGCCGGACATCTGCACAAGCCAGCACAATGTGGGGAACAATATTTTTTCCCAACTGTATGTAATAGTTTTTGTGGTAGTCTGTTGCAGTTTCTGGTGGCATTGTCAAGAAAGGTCTCCACACAACATCCTCTTCCACCCATCCCCACTCTGATGGTGAAGGTGTGTCAATACTGTATCTGCTACCAAAGACTGTCCCCATATGTGTCCAGCTTGAGAGCAGGCTCTCTTCATATGGTGAGTGAGGGCTTCCTTGAGATGGTAAGATAATCATTATTGGTGAGTACAGTACTGTATTGTGAAATAACTGATGTGCATCTTGGGTGTACAGTACAGTATATTGTTGTTGCTTGTTGCAAAATGTGTTAAGTAAAATGATTATGTTGATCAATCTGCTGTGTCATTATGGGTATAAAGGTGATGTACAGTCACCCAAAAAAGTCCTGTCGCAAACCATGAACCCCGAGATTCAGACTCTTGAATCTAAAGCATTTATGGACAGAACAATGTATCAGTGTCTGCTGCTTCGGGTTCACGAGTCTGAATCTTGGGGTTCGTGGTTCGCGACAGGACTTTCTTGGGTGACTGTACATGTCATTGTAAGTGTTGACATCTTTATTAGCACAAGTGTATGACAGCTGTACAGTAACTGTTTAATGTGTTGCAAGACAAAGCTATAGTCATATTTGGACCTGGACAATTTTCAATGTAAGTCAGAATAAGAGTGTTTGACCAGTCAGTAATATTTTCTAGAAAATTGTGCAGTGTAAAGTATTTTTTTTTCAAAGTCTGTGTAATATTTTTGAAGACAGATGTTTGGACATAGAAAATTTTCAATGTACCATACAGTATGTTTCATCACTGTAATATTTTCAAAGGCAAAATATAGTCATGTTTGAACTTAGAAATTTTTCCAAAGTAAATCAAAATAAAAGAAGGTGTATAGTCAAACTTTCTTTATTATTTCTGAAGACAAATTACAGACATTGAAAAAATCCAGACATCTTTGGACATAGAAAAAATACAGCAATTTGTGGACTTAGAAAAAATTTGAGATGTGGAATTTTTCGAAGCCGATTAATCTATCCAGTTTTATCTCTTCTGAATTCTGCTAGTTCTTCCTTGTTACTTTGTAGATCTTTGTAATGTAATGATGCCAGTTTTGAAGACTAATGAAATTCAGACTCACTAACACACTCTCGGTACTGTATATGACTTTGCTGTTATGCCACGGGTTTCATCTGAATACAGACATTACATTCAGATGATACTGATGGGATTTTTAACTGATTATGTCATGTCAAAGTACTCAAACCAAGCAATAGTGCTAAACAGCTAGATCAAATAGTACCAAGAGTATATTAGCAAGTCTATTTCACTCTTATTCAAAACCATCATCATCATCTCAGAATTACAAACACATTACAAAACCAACTCATCAACAAGCAGCATTTAGTGTGTAGCCATAGATTTTTATAAAGTGCAAAAATATTTATACATAATATTTTTGTTTCCTACCAACATTTTTACTTACTTCAAATATTAACCCCCTTGTCTTGTTTCCAAATCACCTTCCTCACTGCCTGCCTGTCACATTAAAACACCTCCCTTCCCATATTTAAAAATGTATACTCCTTTAACACTTCACCATGCCCCATTTGCCTCCTCTCAACTTTGCTATTTCTCTTAATTTATTTAATCTCTCCATTTCTAATACAGTGGGGTATGCTATAACGAACGTAATTGGTTCCAGAACCTCGTTCGTTATAGCATTCGTTCGTTATAGGATTAATCCGTTCCAGGCCCCCAAATACAACCACTTAACACTGAAAAAATTATGTGGAAAATGTAAAAAATACGGTACTTTATCTTACCTTAGTGTTATTCAGCATGCAGGTACCCCTAAACACTGGCACATCACTATCACTTCCACTGGGAGTCTTGGCTTTAAGGTCCTCAAACAATTGTTTAGCCTTCTCACAAATTATAGCTTCACTAATGTTACCACCTGCCATTTCTTTCTCCTTTATCCACACTAAGAGTAAATTTTCCATCTCTTCAATCACATTACACTTTGCTTTGCTAAGTCTAAAGATTCCCTTAGCCACTTGCACAGTTTTTAACTCCTCTTTATTCTTCAAAATCGTACATATAGTCGATTTAGCCATCCCATATTCATCACTAAGTTTCGCAATGCTTCTTCCATTCTCACGTTTCTTTACAATTTCTTTCTTAGTTTCAAGGGTTATTAGCTTTCTCACTCGCTTTGGACGACTCATTGTTACAATTGTATACTTGTATAACAAAATAGTTATACAAATAACGCGAATTTCCACATCAAAAGACGAAATTTCAACAATAACAGTGGTGCACTGGCTACACAATGAGACAAAGATGGCGCCTGACGCTCTTGTTGTGGGTCGCGGTACAACAATATTCATGCGCCAGGCGAAATAGTCCCGTATTCATCCGCGTTCGTTGTAGGAGTTGCGTTCGTTATAGCATTCTCAATTTTATAGGTAAAACCGTTCGTTATAGGAATATTCGTAGTAGGATCCGTTCGTTATAGCATACCCCACTGTATTCATCCCATGTTTCAATACATTCCTCCCATAACCTTAATACAATAAACATACAATAAACATATATATATTTATATATATATATACAGTATTACCCCGCCTAACGCGGTTTCACTTAACGCGTTTTTTCATATACGCGGTGCCTCGCCAGAGCTGAACTTTCACTTAACGCGTTTTTTCCACATATACGCGGTGAGTGTCCGGCTCCAGACGCTATTTTTAGATTTGCGCCACCCTGCCTGACTGCCTGTTTTAGCTCATAAAATTCATACAAATTACCCGGCCAGAATATAATTTACATTGCTGGAATTCTTATAATTTGGTGATCATTTTGAATATAAACATCATATTTTTTGCATTAGACATACAAATTTTAGATAAAAATTTTTCATTGAGTAAATATGTTATCTTTTGTGCAAAATATATGACATTTATATTCAAAATATTCCTGGTCTTACAAGGAATCCAGCAATGTCAATTATATTATCCTAACTTTAGTTTGAGGTATTATTTAATACAAAATGTTAAATATTCTGGTTTTCCCACACATCTCCTTGGGACGGTTGGTGGGGGGTGGGGGGGAGGGAGGGACCTACCGACCATCTGTTACCCTGTGAAGAATATTTTTTTAATTTATTAACTGAAGATATTTGTTTTAGCTCATAAAATTCATACAAATTACCCGGTCAGAATATAATTTACATTGCTGGAATTCTTATAATTTGATGATCATTTTGAATATAAACATCATATATTTTGCATTAGACATACAAATTTTAGATAAAATGTTTTCTGAGTAAATATGTTATCTTTTGTGCAAAATATATGACATTTATATTCAAAATATTCCTGGTCTTACAAGGAATCCAGCAATGTCAATTATATTATCCTAACTTTAATCTGAGGTATTATTTAATACAAAATGTTAAAATTTATTTTTTCACCCAACATCTCTTGAAGGGAGGATTGGTGGGGGGTGGGGGGGAGGGTTGGGACTGACCACGCGGTTGGAAGAGGGGGTAGGCAAGGTGGGGTACTTTGATTGACAGATAGTGTCGTGAAGAATATTTTTTTTTTTATTAACTGAAGATATTTGTTTTAGCTCATAAAATTCATACGAATTACCCGGTCAGAATATAATTTACATTGCTGGAATTCTTATAATTTGATGATCATTTTGAATATAAACATCATATATTTTGCATTAGACATACAAATTTTAGATGAAATGTTTTCTCTGAGTAACTATGTTATCATTTGTGCAAAATATATGACATTTATATTCAAAATATTCCTGGTCTTACAAGGAATCCAGCAATGTCAATTGTATTATCCTAACTTTAGTTTGAGGTGTTATTTATTAAAATTTAGTAGTTTTCCCCCAAAAATTTCTCAGAGAGGGAAGAGCCGGCAGTGGAGTGTGAGAAGAGGGGGAGGGAGTTGAGTCCATTATTTGAATGGACATTAACTTGGCGACTGTATTTCTCTATTTCTCTTAAGTATTAATTGTGTGCATGTACCATCATAAAATTAAGATGTTATTTTTACTACAACATAGTTATGTGTCTTCAAAAAGTGGAGTTTGGGGGTCGGGCCAGTTTCTATTGGAATTAATCCCATATGTTCTGTTGTTCACTTAACGCGGGACCCTCTGGGTTCTATTGACCGCGTTAAGTGGCGTTGTATATATATATATATATATATATATATATATATATATATATATATATATATATATATATATATATATATATATATATATATATATATATATATATATATATATATATATATATATATATATATATATATATATATATATATATGCAAGTAAATCACTGTGAGGTGATCTAGGTATATGATAACCACAAGGAAACATGATTCCCAGCGCTTTTGTACCTGGGGTGAGTACAGACTAGCCTGTACCACCCTAAATGGAATACAATTTTTTTTATTATATATATATATATATATATATATATATATATATATATATATATATATATATATATATATATATATATATATATATATATATATATATATATATAAAATATATAAATGAACAGGCTTTGTGTGAAATATAACAGAGTCTAGAACTCTTTTAGTGTCCTTGTGGCCCAGCCGGTAAGCATTCCTAGTCCCACCCAGTAGGTCATGTCTGATTCTTGCTGGTGAGGTCATTGATTATATGTTCAAAGTCCTGTTATATGGACTAAAAATGAAGTATATATATATATATATATATATATATATATATATATATATATATATATATATATATATATATATATATATATATATATATATATATATATATATATATGTACGTACACGGCCCCATAAACTTGTTTACCATTTATTATTACGACACTTTACACTGAAATGTGGGTAGTTTCAACAAAAATATTGTATATTTCCATTCAAGTATTTATTCTAGTCAATTAGGAGGGAATATTATTGTAATACAATAGTTATTTAACTGAAAACCATTCGAAAAGCGATTACGGTAACATATTTTGAAAGAAAAAAAGCAAGTCATTGTTTTCGTCACAGTTTTATCCCACTTTCCACTGAAATACGTATGTCATTTCAGCAAAAAATATTACATTTCCGTGAATGTATTATATCAACCACAGTATGAATAGAATATCTCTAATATAACAGTATTTTAACCGAAAACTATTAAAAAAACGAGTAACATATCTTGAACATCGGAAGGTTTGGTAAAGTCTTTTGTTTTCGTCATGTAGTTTATCCTAATTTACATTGAAATACATCACGTTTCAGCAAAACTACTATTTATTTCTGAGATTATGGAAATGTAATATTTTTGCTGAAATGACGTACGTATTAT